ATATATATATATATATATATATATATATATATATGTAGCTTCTCAGAAATTTTTATGTTTCTACATTGTAACACACAGTATTTACAATGATTTCTACTGACTTGTATCTCTGGTTCTTATGAAATGCAATAGAAAAACAATGTCTACTGGAAAGCCAATAATAAAAAGTTTTGTAATACATAACTTGTTTTTTATACATACATATTCAATTAATTTATCCACAAAAGCAGTTGCAACCACAAATTCTAATTTTTAAACAAATCCTAATTAAAAACTACCTAATAAACATAAGAACACTATATCTAAAACATCTGGTAGGGTGGAAACATAAGTGGTTTGATGAAGTTTAAAATACAAGTATACCAAAGAGAATCATGTCTAAAACATTTGATATGGCAGAAATATACATAATTTAAAGAAATTTAAGTAATGAAATAACTTCAGGTTTATGTTTTTAAACTAATAAACAATACAAAAAGACACATAATTACATAATAATGTAAAGAAAAGATTCACTTTTATGTTAGTAAGAACACTAATTAAAAAAAGGCTATTACAAAACACAGCTTGTAAATATTTTATATGCAAGTCCAACCATGCATCAAATATTTAAACATATGTATTTCATTTTTTACCCTAAAATTGTATGAAAATAAGCTTTACTTAAAAAACAACATATGAATGAAAATGGATAATTTCCACTCGGTAAAATTTATTTTCATTATTATTTAAGAACATGCCAATGCATAGTCAATTTGATACAAATATAAAATGTATGAAAACATATACAGTGTAGCATAAATATGTGTATGTGTTCACACACACACACACAAAGTGCAATATAAACATACAGATACAAATACATGCAAAGTGTAAGAGAAGAATATGAATGCATACATAATGTATGTATATATCAGCTGATGCAGAGTATGGAATAACTATACTAGGATCAGAAGAAAATAGCAAGATGAATTGGAAATATATTTGTATTTTTGTTACATTGAATGGAAAAACATAATTCATCATCTTAAAGATCCAGAAAATAAACTTGAAATTACATATGACAATATTTTTTAAATGTGCTACCTACGTTGTACTATGTACTTGAATTTATATTTTTTAATTTTAGCCAATAAATATCTTAAAACATCTTCTTTTAGACATACAAAAACATAACATTGTTGTCTTACTTGATGTTTTAACAGTGTGATTATTTTCTCCTATAGCATCATTAGCTGAAAAAAAGTCCAGATCCAACAGGGCAGATGAGGAAAGCTCAGATTCCAGTGGATTGATAAGTCCACTTGTTCTCCAGTCAAACTGTACTGGTGGTATTAACTGGTAAAAATAAACATTGTTAAATTGATAGTGGAAGTTTTAAACAGATTGTAAAAGATATATTATTTATTAAACTAAGCATAAAAATTTTAAATTGTCTATCCTACCTCACAACTTTTACAGAGGTACAGTATATGGATTTATTAATAAAAAATGATCTTATGTTTGCAAACTGAACTTCTAACAGAATTAAAACTGGTAAGACTATAAGGCTTTTTTGTGACTAATTGTATCCTAAAACACTGTACAATCAAAATATGTGTGTGTGTGTCTATATGTATATGATGAGATAGATAGAAAATAAACATGTAAAACAGCTGCTGAGACTATCTGCCACTGTCAATTGCTGAGTAAAGGAAAGGCAACTGGCTGGCAGCACCTGCCGCCAACTTCTTTTTTCTTTTGTGCTTACTATGTTTGAGAAACACTGTACTAATTGATTAACAAATCCCACTAACTGTCCAGCTCTACAGATAAACCTCAAAGCCGTGTCCAATTATATTGAACAGTTATACAAAACTTAGTCAAACTGAGTTATAAAATTGAAGTAAATAGATCCATTTATGAATATCACTATAGTCATTGTCTTAATTTTGTGCATGAAAAATGACAAGACAAAAACTTGTAAACTTGTGACATTTAAGACTCAAGTAAACAAACATTATAATCATTTACCACACATATCAATATAAATTAACCAAATCTACATATATCATCAAATATCACATCTGAAATATGAATATTAAAGTCAACTTGTAAAATTATGATCTGAAGAATTAAAGAAAACAAAAATAGTCATTTATCATGAGTATTACTGTAAATCAATTACATCTACAAAAACACATTTTCGATTTTAATGACTTTTAATTATATGCAGGAACCCTGTAATTTATATAATCTGATAACTTTTAATTTTATTTTTTACTATTGTACTTTTATTATAAAGATTGTTTTACATTGTTAGCTTAATATATGTATTTAGACCTAATCTAAGTATCCTAAGTTGACCAAACCTCACGAGATATTATAAGGATTACATGTGAAAATATTAATAACAGTGTGTGTATCTAACTGATGAAACAATACATTCAAACCTTTATAAATAATAATCTAAGAAAAGAATATTTAATTAGCTATGATCATTAGAAATACCAGGATGAGTTTTAGTTTCAGTCTGAGTAGTCAATTTGCTCTAATCAAAAGTTAATATTAATTGGGATTTAGTTTTGTTAAAAGTAAATGTTCACATACTAGAATTTGATGTAATGTCTATCTTAGCACCATAAATATGATCAACAAAATAAAGTAAAGAATAAAATGTCAGTCGTTCGCTTTACTTAAACTTTAATGGAAAATTAACACTTGTACAAAATGTTTCATACTGAGACAAAGTCTTGAGGTTTATCAGATGAATGTTATCTTCACTCTCAAGAGATGGAAGCTTTGGCAGAACAGGCTTCTGTTTTTACATATGTTATCAGACTTGGATCTGGTTGAGTGCTTGGACCAGGTATTACAGATTATGGTCTCATTTCTGGATACAGCTCTGGGGTGGGGTGCTCCTCGAACATGAAATTTGTGTGAATAAAGATAATGTGATTAAATAGTTCAGGGTCTAGCATGGCCCTGAACTTGGTAAGGGAGTCCAGCAGAAGAGAATGCCATTTTACTCTGTACTTCTATTGCTGGTATGGCCAGCTGTATGTGTGCCAAGGTCAAATAATACGCTTCAACCATAGGCCACAACAGTAGAGGATCGTAAATATGGACAGGCTCAGGAAAGAAGTCCCTCCCCAAAATACCAGTAGCCCTTCCATCACCAAATAGGCTGAATTTCACCTAGAATCAACATCTTGAATCAGATACAATTGCTTCTTCTAATACTTTTCTTGGTGGTAAGCAGAGCATGGATTGTCATTCATTAACAGTTGAAGCAGGCCACCACCTTATGAACAGCAGCTGTTGTCTTTGATATGGCTAGTAACTTGCAACCCTCACTGATCTTCAGCTGCAATGTATGATAAAATCAGATGATGTGTTAACAACATTGTCTATCCCAACTTCAGTGATTGAATTTACACCAATCTCTTCCGTGATGTCGGCAGGTGTGCAGCAATAATGACATATGTATTTATCGTGCAGTTGTCTTGGAGCAACCAACCAGTCTGTCCTGGTGTAGTAGTGGTAGTCACATAACTGTATGTGGATACACCAGTTCAAATGCTTGTGGTAAATATCACAGCACATTTAGACATTTCTGAATTAGTCTCCTGCTCGACCTCCTCATATGCCATCTACAAAAACTTTTGCTACTGTGTTTATTGATTGCATGTTGTACTTGAATTTAAGATCATAGACAAAATTATGAAAAACCAATTGCTGAACAGCATTATTGGACCACAGATCTGTACCACACATGGTAACTAATGCCTTTTTAATCCTCTCATACTTCACTTTTGAGAGAAGATACCTGAAATATAAAGATATATTTATACAATATTTTAACACTAGCTTCAATATACAAAAGGTAAATAGGATGATGAATACACTACTTAATATGTTTAGCTATTAAATAATTTTAATGATTATCTTTTAAATTTATGACTACTAAAAACTAATAATTCACATATAACAGCTATGGTAACAAGATAAAGCAAATTATATCCCATATTAAATAAAATTAATATAGGTCTGTTTTATGCAGTTAAAATCATACAAACCTCAACTTGTGAAAGTCATCATGGTATTCTGATGCTTTTCATCTCCTAGCAATGTTTCCTTGTGGTAAAATTTCATAAGATTCCTCACTGTATAGGTCCTTCCAGTGTATGTTAGAGTTTGAACCTTTTTCTCTTTTAATCCTCCACTAAATCAAAGAATTTCCATATGTTTGCTTTTGAAATCTTTCCTTTTATCAGGAAGACAAATGAAGTCTATATTTGAAAATTCAAACTGTTCTATTGTCCCCAGAGTTGCTAGGAAAATGCATTCTCCTCGTGCACACGTATCAACCTTAAAGGCATGCATCAAACTTTCTGGAACTCTCCTTTTGGAAAACTAAAAATTATTACCCAGAAGGCTACGTGTGGAAGAAAATGTAGAGCTAAATTTTTGGTGCAAGATGTTATTTTTTTAATGCAATTTTGTATTAATACATACATAAATTACGAACAAAACCAGCTGTATAGCATTCTTAATTGATACCAGTTACCTGGTTATTGATTTTCTCAATCAATTACTGCTGATATCCTAACAGTAACCAAGTAACCAAAGACTTGTGGTATACTTACAGTTAAGTAAACATAACCATTTAAAATAAGCATTGTAATCACATCTACATTTATAATCTTACTAAACACTGAACCTGATATTTGATAAGAAAAAACTTACAAAAATTACAAGAGTTAAATAACTCAAGTAAACAAATATATATATACATATATATAATCATCACCATAAATTAATCACATCTACATGTATAGTCTTACCAATACTGAATATCTAATATCAGAAGGCCAGAGTATATCTACACTGACCCCGGCTAAACAAAGTTTCAAAAGCGTGCTGGGTTACTAGGAATATTTCTAAGACTTTCAAAATACCATGCATAAAAACACAGTAAAAGGTTGGGCCACAGATCTTCCACTTTTTAAATTCTGTAATGTATTAAGCCATAAATGCTACATTTTTTCTGCACAAACAATAATTATTGTCTTAGGAAGCTACAATACCTCCGAAGATTTTTCTGGTGAGATTGGTTGCTCTGCTGGAAGCAACTTTTCATGACACCTGTCAGTTAGTACTGGTTCCCTGGTGGGCTCAAGGAGGCCAAGGCCCGAAGCAAATAGAGGAATGGAGGGATTACGTAACTGAAAAAAAGGTGGTGTTGGAATCTAAATAGATTTAAACATTAAAGAATTAGGTAATTCTATTTAAACTTTATTCCACAAATATTTTGAAGACCATTGCAGAATTTCAAGTAACTTTTTAATTATTTGACAAACTACAACTTGGGTAACAAAACACCCTGTAGGTACAGTTCTATACAGGTAGATGGAAATTAGTACTTAAGACTGAAATAATGTGTGAGTACATCTTTAACAAGGATACAAGCATATGTAATATAAGAAAGCTTTTGTACCAAAAACATAATGCTACAAAAGGTGAAGGTACGAGTCCAGTGCATACAAAATATTTCGTCAATTAAAAAAAAAAACAACCACAAAAAAGTACTTTCTATCCTTTTTTAATTGTTTTATTGAAAAATATATAAGTTAAAGTAGTGATTCAACTTTATATTAAAATAGCACATTATACATAACATGCACAAAATGCAAAATAACATGCAAAAATAATTTCATACTTTGACAAAAGTATTTAGGCAATCAACAAATTTCGTATGAAACCCATCCACTGCTCATTATTTACAATTATCATAACTGAAAACCAACACCTGATGATAATTGTACAATAAATTAGTACAAAATTAAGTACTGAAAAAGAAACTGGCAATTTGTAATCCAAAAAAGCAAGAAAATGGTTGAAAATAAAGAGTACAACAATTATCTCAAAATGACAGTGATACAGTTAAACAAAGGAAAGAAAGAAATTACCACAAAAGTTGCAGAAAGACTCAATTTACCAAAAAGCACTATTATTGAGAAACACATGAACTGGAACAACTATGACTGGCTTTAGATGTGGGAGACCAAGCAAGATTTCTACAAAATCTAGAAAAAGAATTGTTTAAGCAGCGTGGCAAAATTAATTCTCAGATTACTGCAAAATATTCAACACAAAAACTGAGAGAAGATGGTCAAAAATTCGTAAATAAACAATGCAATATTTTAACAAGGTAAATGTCCATGGGTGAAACAAAGATTCAAAACACAAAAGAAAGTGATTGGAATTTTCCACTAAATACTTGAAGCAGCCTGATTATTCTTGAATGAAATTTTTTGGCCAGTTGAATCCAATATAGAACATTTTCACCAAGAACGCCATAACATTTTGGGGGGAGGAAAGGAGAATAACTTAAAGAAAAGTTCTTCATGCTCAGTATTAAACATGACGGAGGTTGTGTGATGGTATTGGCTTGTTTATCTTTCTCTGACGACTATAGAAGGATCAATTAATGCTGCAAAATATTGAGAAATTCTGCACTCTTATTTGTTAACCCAATCTTAGAAGGATTATTAGATAGAAGTTTGAATTCCAGTACGATAATGACCCAAAGCATTCTGTAAAATCTACAAAGGGAATTTCTGAAAAACAAAAAGATTACTGTTATAGATTGGCCATTTTAGTCCCCATACTTGAATCCCATCAAGATGTTGTTTACTGAGTTGAAGGCTGCTGTATCAAAAAGGAAACACAAGTTGATTGTAAAACTCAATGCTGTATGCATTGAAGAATAGATAAAACATTTTTTGGAAAAATTCCAGGAACTAGTTTCAAAAATACAAAAAATGACAAGCTGTAAAGGAAGCAAAGGGTGGACACACAAAATACTAAAGTAAGGTGTCCAAATACTTTTGTCAAAGTTTGACATTAGTGTGTGCATGTTATTTTTTATTTTATGAATGTTATCTAATATATTTTTTTCTATAAATCTGAATCTCTAATGCATATTTTACAAATGAACAATTAAAAGTGATAGAAATTACTTTCTTTGTGTTTAACTGCCCAAATGCTTTTGTCTGTAACTGTAATTATATATATATATATATACATGAATACATATGTATGGTATTGACACACATTGATGCCTAATTTCTTTGATAAAAAAAATTGAAAAGAATAATGCTCCAAAATAATCAGAACATTTTTTTCTGTGGGACTGAAAGTTGGAGAAACAAACACTTTAAACATTTTTTTTTTAGATGGTGGCAGTTTCATGTGAAATATTGTGAAAAACAAATTTAAATGATATAACAGCTTGGTCACAAACATTTATTGTCATGCAACATAGTCAAAGAATTGATTAATTCATTATTTAAGAAAATAATATTTATTATTGTTTTATAACCTATTATACTATATTTCAAGTTAATATTTTTATTCAAGTTTAACAATAAAACTGGTTTGTTTTTCTTCACAATAGCACTTTAAGAAACTGTATTTGTGTTTCTTTTGCATCATACTGCATTTACAATTACAAATCAATACTAGTGTATTCTTATAGAACCATATCATGCATACCATACTGCATTCTTATGGATCTGTATATTTACATCATATTGCATCCTTGTATAGACTCATAGCTGCACTTTGCTATACTGCCTAACTTATGAATTATTATTTTAACATTTGACTTTCAGAAAAATTTACATTGGAATGTATTTTTAGCTCACAGAAGGACTAAGATAATATATTATTTTGGAAAAATATGTTCTGAAATATAGAATGTATAAAGTTTTAGAAGAGGTACATATGGATAAAATAATTTAAGAAATGTGTACTGTCATTAAACTAATATACTACATAAGACTACACTTCAATAACTTAATCATTATTCACACAGATATGGAGTTCTAATTTAAATAACTGTTTGTTCCTGACAGTCATGTAAAACTATACAAATATATCTGCACTAGCCATACCTAATTTCAAAGTGATAAGACTAGAGAGAATGTAGCCAGTAAACAGTAACCACTACAAACATTTTGGCTGACCAATTTGACCATCATTCTTATAATGCACCCATGACTCCAAAGTGTGGAGTGTAATTGCTTTTTTATTATGGTAATTGGATGTGAACAATACACACTCAGTTTCACAGTAGGGCACTAACTATTTGGCTTTGCCCAGCCTTAATTTTGACAATTACTTTCATGTACTTCTAACTACTCCATCACATAACTTAAACCTACAGAATGTTTATACACATACAATACACACAAACTGACCACACAATGCTATTCATTGTAAAGTTACAACACTAACGTATTTGTGTTTGCACACAGCTTGAAACTATTTATGCTTCTATATGCTCGTCAGAATAGCTGTTTTGTAACTAGAAAGATGTATTCAAGCATACTAAAGATGAAATGTGTAAAAATTTAGATATGAAAGAAATACATACAAAACTGTAATTACTCAAACAGCTTCCCCTATTAATTTGAGACTCAATACTCATTATTCACAATTATGCAAACTGTAATGAAGATAGCATATTAACTAAACAGAGCAAACATGTAGTCCTCAGATGACCATACAAAAGAACAAAAGATCACATTAACCTCAAAATCAGGGGCATAAAGGGCTATATAAGTTAGTGGTAGACCAAAAAATAGTTATATTCATGGTGGAAAAATAAAATAAACAGGGGTCCAAGGACCTACATGGAACCTGGAAGGTACACATTTTCAAATTAAACTAATATTTTTACCTCAATGTGCTTCTAAGTCGTTCAAAAAATATTAAAGGCCAAAACAAAAGTGATAAGACCTTTTACATAAAAGATCAAACCTCCTCTAAATCTAAAAAAGAAAAGAAACTATTACTTTTGAAACCTGAAACTCTAATTTCAGTTCTACACCTCACAAATATGATTTATTAATGCTGATAAATCAAGTGCAAATGTAAAAAAATTCAAATGTATTGTCATTAAAGTAGAATTTTAAAAAGTCACATGATAAAACTTCACTTTTTGACATTATATTAAATCAGTTATAACAATCCCAATTTCTCCCTACCTTCAGTTTGAACCTGCTGCTTACAGAGTCACTACCTTATGAAGAAAATGTTTATGAGTAATAAGAAACTTTCCCATTGACCAAAACTATAGCCAGACAAATACCTCAGCTAATGAAGTCAAGTGGGGATGTGAAAATAAACTAAGAAAGCATTCAAGCAATGTAACAGTTTTGAGAACAAGCACAGGATGCAAATGATTTTATGATAACTTTTTACTCAAGTTGTTGTTGACATACATCAGAGAAATCCAGTTTTAAATTACTGATGCTTATTGTTGACTGTTATTCAGATACTTAAAGATAATATATCTAAATTCTTTAGAACATATCTAATTAGAATCTCTACTGAGAACTACTTTACTTCTATAGTTTTGAACCAAATTGCAGATTTTAAGTCAGTGACATTTATTCAGAATGTTTCAAATTCGAGTTAACTCCACTACTCAAAATAATTAGGAAAAAATAGTTTTCTATATTCTAAACAAGACAAAGCACAATTACTGTTAACAACTAATTACAATGGCAAACTCCCCATTCACTAGTATCAGGTGACCAGTCATATGATCTTATATGCACGACACTGATATTTTAAAGGAGACACAGAAGCTGTGTAGATATCCAGGTTGCTAAGACCCCATAAAATTTACAAAGACATAATAAAATCTCTTGTAATTGTGCTGATTCCAACACATTGGACTGGAATGGATATGTACTCCTTTATAGTGATAATAGGCTAACATCATGCACTGCATGTGATAAAAGTTATCTTGTACTGGTGGTGGATCCAACATGTGAATTGGAATGTAACAAAAGATCCTGTCTTGTAGCATTAGGCCTAATACCATGAACTAGTTATCACAGAGGAAAATGGTGGATCCAGCACAAAAAAATGGGGTGCAACAAAAAGTTCTTTATAATGATGCTGTGTCTTAACATCATGTACTATATATAACAAAAGTTCCCTTGTAACGGTGGTGGATCCAACACATCTGCCATATAACAAAAACTCATGCTTACAGATGAAATAGAAATGGCTGCCAATTATCAAAACAGGAAGAAAACACCAGTACTGAAAGTAATAATTGCAACAAAGCACCATATCAGCATCAAAACAGACTACAAATAATGAAAAATTCACTCAAATCAGTATCATCTTTGTGTATATAGAGGAAGAAAATTAAGTGGATATTATAAGT